ATCAAAACAAGGATTTAAGACATACACCTACCAAACACATAATCCATGGGCAACAACAGGCTTCTATTATTGCCTATAATCAGAAAATGTCATGCCTAGTTACACTATAAACTGCAAACACTTATTTGGCAATCACTTTTCAGCACAGCACCTGTATGCTCTGCTGACCAGACTTTCTAGTGATTTCAGGTCCGTTAACACCTTATACAGTCTATGATTAACACACAGTTAAAAACGGGGACATTTCCGGGGACAGCTCCAGATGGGGGACCAAAACAGGGGACTGTCCTCAGAAAACAGGGACATCTGGTCACCCTACTGTGAGAACCACGTATCTGATGAAACACTGTAAGTACTACCTTGAATTTGGACTTAAGTACAGTTCTAGAGTAAATGTACATAATGTATCTGGTTGAAGCTTTTTCCTCTACATTATTAGATTGAAATGGTTCATATAACTCCTGTTAACTGTTATTAGTTTTAGACCATTTATTCATCATTTTGTTTGGTCGTTCACAGGGTTGGATATCCTTTAAATTTTTATGATACCACCAGTACCCTTAAAGTGATACCGATGCCAATAGAGTAGCTACTTCATTGGATCCCTTGCTATTTTTTTGTTGTTGTTATGGACAAGCAAGGAGATCTATTTCTTTTTTCAAAAACCTGACATTGGGAAATTGTATCAGGTTGCTCCTCATCCTAATTAGGTCATCCTCAGAGGAAGGACGACACCCTGGGAGTTTTTTTGTATGTTAATGAGAGCGGAGGAGTGAAACAGTTTAGTGACCGCGTAAGTTGTTGAAAATAAAAGAATTAGTTACATTTTTCATATGTTTGTTAGGTCAACCACGGAGAACTGTTTTGTTAACTTTCAATTAAACCTCTAAAAAAGATGACAGTAAGTACAAAATGAGGAAGGAGTCTGCTAAACAAGTCACTAAACTACACTAAAGAGTCTAAAGAAGCAAACAGGGGAAAAGAGTCTGCAGCCAGAGGCTCCGTGAGAAAATCAGCTGATCACTGCTGCGCCACAAAAGCTTTAATTGATATGATGGAACGCAGTGATAGATTAGTGACAACAGAGAAGTGTTAAATAATACCAGATGAGGGCTGTTAAAATCTCACAAGGAGTTACAAGTGGGTGCAGGCCTTTTTTTATGCAGTCTACGGTGCAGGCAAGGTAGAAAAAAGAGCCGTGCTCTTCTCTTTCGGTGTATTGCTTGCGTGTTTGTCTGCAAGCAAAACCATACAAATAGTAATTTTTTGTGCGATCTGGTTACAAAAAGTATCGAATTAAGTAGTCGTTTGATGATGGTCGGATGATGCTACTCGATACGCATCCCTAGTCATTCATCTTTTCAAGCTTCTTCAGTTTAGTGTGAAGCCGTATGATACACCCAGAGGGAGGTTTACTGTGTTTTACTTTAAGAATTAATAATCTACCACTGGAAACAAAAAACCTAAATATCAAGGACAGGCCAAAGAACTTACAAAAGTTGCTCATTACAAAATGAAAATATATAAGGGAGTCTTCCAAGTATCCCAGGAGACTCTGGAATGTCTTTTTAAAGTTCCAAGGATTTCCAGGGACCTTTATCCAGGTTCCAGAGGAACCAGGGGTCCTGGGGCTTAACAGACTTCCTGGGGTCAGATACTTGTGGAGAAACCTCCAATTAAAGGTTGGATGATGGTGATTTGCAGGTGCTAAGAACAAGTTGCAGCAAACCTAAGGGCCTCATTGAGCAATGTTCAAGGATTCCCAGGGCTCCTTAAGGTAAGCTCATCAGGTTTAAGGAGTCTTTTGTTTTTAGGTGTTCGTGGACCTCTTGCTGTTCTCAAGGAGGTAACAGGACCACTTGACAGATGCTCAGGGACTTCCAGGATCCTTTTAGGATGACTTATCCAGGGATGCTTCAGTTTTACATCCACAGTAACACTATTGTCACACCAACCTGCATTATGGCAAGCGTAGGGATCAGAGGATTTATACTCTCTGCATTCACTATAGAATATAAATAGTGACATGAGCATTTATTATGATGTGTTAAAGTCTGTTAGTGCAGGAGAAAATTATGCTGTTCTGCAACAGATTTCATGATGACAGCTTTCTGTGTGCACTAACCTCAAGATAATTACATTTTCCAATTAATTAAGCCAACTTCAACCAACAAGTATAGTGTGCCTATCCAAAGTCTGATATAGCTTATCATTACCATAAACACACACAGTGTATTTTTTTTATTTTATTTAACCTTTATTTAATCTGGAAGAGCCCATTGAGATATAATACCATTTTCAAGGGAGACCTGGCAAAGAAAGGCAGCAGAACAGCAAGTCATAATGACACACATATGACAATACATTATAATGAAACATTTTTCTAGACACATACATATTCTTAAAAATCCAGCCTATGGGAAACATAAGGACATCTGTAGCACCGGTACCTCTAATTGGAGAGTCTTTTACATAGGGTTCCATGTTGAGGGTGCACAATATGAAAAGGCAGTACTTCCTAACTTTGAAACAACCCTGGGAACTTTTTAAAAACAGCTGTCTACTACACTGTGTTTGGTAACTACTCACCGCAAGGTTAAGGAGGCTACAAAGGTCTTTTTATTTAAATTCTGAATTTTTCCCTAGAAATTTCCCTTCTGACAAGTGTGATGAACATGAACCTTGTGAATATTTAATGCCAGGTGCTGGTTTATTAATGCAAACTACAATCCAGTGTATGTATAGATTGTGTTTTTCTAGAAAACCTGCCTAAACTACATTAAGATTTTTATTGGACAACAAATATGTTGTAAAAAAAACAAACAAACAATATATATATATATATAGTGACGCAATGGGGATCCCTTTACCATCACAGTTCAAAGTAGTGTGGGAAGCCCTGTAGCGTTGGTTTTTGTACATGATGTTTAACAGAAAAGACTGAGTGAGGAGGTTGTTGGGGTTGAAGGAGAGCGTGAACCCCAACTTTGAACCAGGAGGCCGGGATTCATGTCCCCTGGGAAACAAAAAGTCAACATTAAATGTTTTTATTTAGGCAAGTGACCTAAAATGACGTAAGGAACGTTAGTTAACTTACATGTTAACTGATGTACGTAGTTATTTTAAGCCAAACCATGATCTTTTCCTAACCTTAACCAAGTAGTTTTGTTGCCTAAAGCCACCAAGTAGTTTGGTTGCCTAAAGCCAACCAAGTACTTTTTGTGCTAAACCTAACCAAACTGCAACGTTTCATAACTTTAATAACACGCCGTTTGAATAAGGCGATGTTTTGAAACACTAGCGTTTTATTTTGAAAGACTAACTATGGCAAAACCAACAGACTCTTCCCACAAGCCATCACTCTGATGAACAGCTGAATTCTGACTCACTATGTCAGGAACAATTCCTGTGCAATAACCAAGTAACTCTGTCTCTATTCAGCCACCTGTTTACTGGCTACCAGTTATCATTTATTAATCATTCTCTCGTTCTCTGTTTCAGAGCTGTTCATACTGTCCACATTGTTATATTTTCTTATAAAACGGGTACCTCAAATCAAGCAATCTGATTGGTTCGTAGTAGTGATATAATGAGCGTATACAACGGGTATGACGTTGAATTCCTTCGCACAGATCTGTTTCACTCCGCGACAACAGGGTTTGAGTTATAATCTGAGCTTCGTGGGGGTCTCACACCCCATTTACACCTGGAATTAAAATGCGATCTGATACATGCTACAGATTGCATTTTACCGGCAGAGATAAATAAATAATGAGTGAGTGAGTGAGAGAGAGACAGAGATAAATCATTGCTTATTACGTGATTCAACATTTCCCTCTCTCACACAGGAAAACACACACACACAGCAACAAAGTTTAAGTTTCAATAGCCTGTTCAAAGACTAGCGTATTGCTCAAGGAGAGACGCAATTCTGCCCTTTCTGGTAGGTATAATATTAAAGTGTTATTATTTTATGCACTGATGGCTGCCTGCACACAGTATCAAGCATATTATCATATAAATTCAAGTTACCAAAATCTATCTCCTGACGCTGTGATATAATAAGCGTATATCATGGCCTGTGAGCTATTGCTTAAATATTGTATGTACTGTATAACAAATCCAACTACCTCAAGTACATAATACCTGCACATAATACTTATTTATTCCAGCATCCTTGGCATTATGTTCCATCGCACTGTATACATGTGTGCATGTAAGTGGATGTGCACCTGTACAGGTGCTGGTCATATAATTAGAATATCATCAAAAAGTTGATTAATTTCAGTAATTCAATTCAAAAAGTGAAACTTGTATAATGTATACATTCATTCCACACAGACTGATATATTTCAAATGTTTATTTAATTTAATTGTAATGATTAAAACAGACAACTAATGAAAACCCCAAATTTAGTATCTACGAAAATTAGAATATTATTGAAGACCAATACAAAAAAAGGATTTTTAGAAGTGTTGGCCAACTGAAAAGTATGAACATGAAAAGTATGAGCAGCACTCAGTATTTTCTTGGGGCTCCTTTTGCCTGACTTACTGCAGCAATGCGGCGTGGCATGGAGTCGATCAGTCTGTGTCACTGCTCAGGTGTTATGAGAGCCCAGGTTGCTCTGATAGTGGCCTTCAGATCTTCTGCATTGTTGGGTCTGGCGTATCACATCTTCCTCTTCACAATACCCCGTAGATTTTCTATAGGGTTAAGGTCAGGCGAGTTTGCTGGCCAACTAAGAACAGGGGCACCATGGTCCTTAAACCAGATACTGGTAGCTTTAGCACTGTGTGCAGGTGCCAAGCCCTGTTGGAAAATTAAATCTGCATCTCCATAAAGTTGGTCAGTAGCAGGAAGTATGAAGTGCTCTAAAACTGCCTGGTAGACGGCTGTGTTGATCTTGGACCTCAGAAAACACAGTGGACCAACACCAGCAGATGACATGGCACCCCAAACCATCACTACCTGTGGAAACTTTACACTGCACTTCAAGCATTCCATTTTTTTGTTGCAGATAAAATATTTTAATTTCTGCCATATGGCTCCAATCTGCTCCTGGGTACTGTACAGACATTGTGTGTAGAGCACTTTTATTTTGGGTACTTTAAGTTTAATTAGATGTTATTCTACTTATTAGAGACCAAAACTGCTCTTTGTAAACACAGCCTGTCTGTCTCACCTGGTTTCTGCTTCTGTAGTGTTTGAGTGTGTACAGCATCAGTGATCTTGTGTCATCATCTGCTACCTGTAAACTACACATCAGGGTCTATAGTAACAAACAAGACGCTTACATCACCGCCCAGTCACACCACAACTCAGACTGGGAATTAATATCACATTCACAGCAGTGCAAACATCAAGTCATTGATTCTCATTGATTCGTCAAGAATTCTGACTTTTAGATGATTTATTTCAGAAAGTGTATGAAATCCATTAACAATATAGTCACACGTTCTGTCTGTGTTACTTATGGATGGATTTTTTGCTGGGGACCCCCTCAAGGACCCTCTTTGAGAACCACTTCTCTAACTAACGAGCGAGTCCAGGAGACAGTATCACACAACAACCTGGAAACTCAGGTAAACTCCCTCTGCAACGTTGCAGTAATATTTTTTTATCAGCTAAAGGTTGAAATAATCCATGTTCGTTACATGATAATGTTACATTGGCTGCATTTAGTCTGTCGGTCTTGAGGAACGATTTGCGTTGCGTCAGCTGACCGGACCAGAGCTCATTGAGGAAGGAGGACAAGTGCTGAATCTCCTCCGCCAGCAAGTAGCTGTTGCCCCACAAAACATCAAACAGACTCAGACCGTGCATGATTCCTGAGACAGAGGGGGAAAAAAATTAAAATGTTATTGCTATGTGATGTTTAATAGTTCTGTGTTATATTAAGAAGTGTTTCCAGTGTTCAGTCTATCATACAGTTAGTGACTGGCAAAAGCTGCCAGCGGGAAAGATCTGTAAAAAGGTAGTAAGTGGACTTTTAGTTGTTGTTGATTGTTTTGTCAAACTTTTATTTCCAAAGTAAAAAATGGCCCAACAGTAATTTCTTTGCCATACGTACTGGGATGCAACAACAACCAGTACACTGTTACCTGGTTTCCTGTTGCTGGGGACAACTTCAGAAGAGGAGCTGGAGATAAACAGAGGAGATTACAAACAAGCACTTAATGTTTGAGTTAACACACAATGACAGTGTTATTCACGAACATACTCACATGTTGTCAATCATCACACATCAGGACTTTGCATTTTATTTTCATACATTTGCAGTCACAGGAAACTGATCTAGAGTGAGCAGGTGCCACTGCTCCAGATCTGTTCATCTTCAATTATTGGACAGACTCTGATGTTTCCACAGCATCTAATAAAACATGTTGGGTTTACCTGAAAAGTTGTCCCTGCTGGAATTCTTTAACTGACATGAAATGTGAAGAAACAAACTACAAACAGCTTAATACCACCTTTTAAGCATGCAGCGATTAAGAGTTTGACAAGGCCGGGACCCCCACTGACTCTCATACACCCCTCACAGTACAGGGTAACTTTTACACATCCCCACATAAATATGTCGCACATCACTGCACAAACTGTTATTTAAATAACATACTGTACATATTCTTTATTCTTTTTATACTGTTTTTAAATATTTTATTGTCAGTTTTATAATTTCTGTGTGATTCTTGCAGTACCTGCTTTATCTTTCTTTATAACTTCTACTTACTATTTTTGTTATGCACCAAAATACCAGAAGCACATTCCTTGTATGTGTAAACCTCCTTGGCAGTAAAGCTGATTTTTAATCTGATACTCAACAGATTTTGTGTCCCTTAAAGTAAATTACCAACATTGTTTTCAGACTTTAGCCTACCTGTCTTGGGTGGAGCAGATGTAGAACCTGAGCTCTCCACAGGGGGCGCTGTGCAGCTTTCCACCTGAAACACAAAACACACACAAGGATTTAGTTTAAGTTGTTAAATAAAAAAATTTATAAAAAAAAGGAATAGTGAAGTGTTGTGCAATTCAAACAACAAACTGTAATGCATTTTTTATTTAATTTTAAAATAATTATCCATTTATAAAGTACATTGATCCATTCATTCCTTCTTTTTTCTTTTATTTTTTGGTTCCATTTCCATGCAAGCCCCGCCCTCGCTGGTGTCACTTTGGGCTCTGGGTAATTGTGATAGTATTTCTCACTATTATTAAATGTTTACAAACCAAACAATAAAATATTTAGCAGATGAATCCATAATGAAATAGTCAGATAGGCCTACAACATAACATTTTCAATGCATGACGTTTACTTCGAAAAGAGTATTTTTAATGTGGTATTAGTACTTTGCTTAAGGATCTGCATACTTCCTCCTCCACTGGAGAGGTGTTTGTTTAAATAAAGTCCTGATATAAGAACAAGAGTACAGCACACTAACACAGACACCATACCTGCTGTTCCTGGTATCCACCCACCCTGGTATGTGTTTGCTAACAGAAGGACAAACTGTCTCTCCTCTGGTATGTGAAGCGATGTCAGTTTACCAGCTGCCTGAGGGCACAATAACTCACACACACAGACACACACACAAAACCACATTGAAGCCATGTAATACTGAATCTTCTGTTTTATCAATGCCCAGGAGCCACTGAGGTGGGCATGAAAAGACCTGCTCCGTCCCTGCTGACACGTTATTTAAGTATTAAATTTGAAAAAGCCATTTGAATTACATATTTATTCAGTATAATGAACAAACCCACTGTGGAGACGAGAAATGTCATTGTTATTTGAATGTGACTGACAGGAAGCTCCACCTTACTGTTTTTCTTACTTGAACTGATGACAGTGAAGCAGACGTCTCAGTCAGGAGTACAGTCAAGACGAGAGGAACTAACAGACACATCATTTACCTGTAACACACACATATTTACACTATAACAGAGACCAGTATTGGGCAAGTTACTCAGAAATTGTAATATATTACTAGTTACTTATTACTTCTTCAAAAAGTAATATTACTTTACATTTATATAACCTACCTTTAACAGCTAATACTAGTACTAGTACTTTATCCTTAAAGTAGATTACTGATTAAATTAGTAAAATACTGAATTAAGGCGTTTCATTTACTCGCCTACTGTAAGTAATTGTACTTCTTCTACCTGAAGTATAAAAATGTGGAATCTTCATCATCTTTTACTTAATAAATTATCTAAAATAAATAGTTGACTTGGAGTACAAATCAGAGTTCAAAATTTCCCTTCAAATGTTTGTTCTAAAATTGAATACAGTATAAAAATACAGGAACATTTTTACAAAAAATCCAAAATGTCCAAAAACAATGGAAGTCCTTTTTATCTAGACTGCAATGAGCCTAATAAACAACACAGAGAAGTTGTTTTTAACTCCATAAAATAATCTGCACATCGATTTAACTTCAAAGATTAGAAAATTATGAGATTTCAAACATTTAATCAACATGTTTTAATTTAAAAAGCAACTCTTAGTGTGATGTGCTGCTGTTCTGTCCAACATGAAATGAGTAATTGCAACTACTTCCTTGTGATGTGTCAAAGTACATGCAAATACTAAAGGCAAATAATGCAAATGCAAATAATGATTGATGCAAATAATGTCTGTAAATAGATGGAGTGATAGGTCCTGGTGAGAGACTGAGCGAATAAGGGTGGTGATGGTGCAATGGATAAGATGCCTGCCTTTGGTTCAATCCCTCACTGTGATCCATCCACCTGTGTGTTACCTATGACATATATAGAAATTGTAAGTCCGTTTGGATAAAAAGCATCAGCTAAATGAATAACTAACGGGAATTCAGGTACAACAAACTGTTGTCTGTGAAGAATGTATTAATAACAGAGAATGACAGAGAAGTGCTGTTGTGAAAAATGTATTTCCTTGGGGAGAATTGAACGAATAAATGAATTACAACAAGCCGTTGTGTTTTGGTTGATTTATTAAATGAGAATTAACAGAGGAGTACATAAAAAATAAACAGTGGGACCAGAGATCCACCACAAGGTGCAGTTAGTAACGCCTAGCCCAGAACAAAGGAGTATATAACAATTTAGCTTAGTGTCCCCTATATGGATATTGTGTTACAAGTGCATGCGTAATAGATAAACACATCTGGGAAGGAATTTTCTGCCACTACAGGTACCACAACAGAAGATCAGCTGGGTCCAGCTCCAGTTTTCTATGTTTTGGGGAACAGAGATCCTCCAGAGAGGAGCAGCAAGAAAGGAAAATAATAATCTTGCAGTTCTGACGTAAACCCTACACATGTGAACAGACTACTATAATGAGAATAATAATAATAAAAGGTTAGGAATTAAAACAATATATAAGAAATAACAATAAGAGTAATAAGAGAAATCTTCTGCTATCACACTTTATACATACTTTAAATAAGCCTCTGGGGCCTATTTAAGAGCTGCTGTGGGGCCCTACATAATAAACGAAAAAAATAAAGTGAGAAACACGCTACACAATATTCCTGTCCCATGACTTAGGCTGGTTTTCTGTGTTTCATTGTGTTTTCCTTTCCCTGGTGTATGACCTGGCTCAGAAGGCCACAACAAAAGGGAGACACACCATAGTAAACGGTTAACAACACATATTTAACAAACAAAAATTTCAAACTAACATAATTCAATTATGAGGTATGTAGTCTGTGGTTTCAGTAGTGTCTCTGCAGGATGATGGTTCCATGAATGTATTTGGGTAAAGCTGTTGTAGTAGGCAAAAACAAGGTAAATACCACAAAGCAACAAACCAAAACCAACCAAAACCAAACTGAAGGGGAAACCGGGGAGCTGGCCCGCAGGGAGGTGTGACCTTGTCTCCACAGCAGCCTCCTGCAGAATGAGAAGACAGAGTTACAAATTCTCTACAGGGCAATTAGCCCAGGTTCCCAGAGTTACTGCAGTCAGTCTCAGCTTCTCTTCACCTGCAAGGGATAGAGATTGGCCACACCCTCACATGACCCCACAGGGTGTCACACTGGGGTGAATTTAATCTCAAAACATTTTATGATATTTTGCTACATTTCCTGGTGGAATGACATGTTTCCTCGAAACATTGTGCCAACATAACTCGAAGCCTGTTGCACAACATTCCACAATGTTGTGCAATGTTTTCTCCCATTTCGTGCGTGTGTCAGAGGTGTTACCCAATCGGCAGTGACGTGTATAATAAAGCCGTCAAATTACAAAAGTCCAAGTCCAAGGTACCACTGTTCCCATGTAAATAAACATTTTGCTACCTAAATACGTGTACTGCTAACGCTTCTATTACCATTATTACTGGTACTGACCTTGTACATTTACTATAGTACCACTACCATAACTATTACTGCTAATGCCACTACTAGGACTGGGCCCCCAATACTTTTTCCACGGCTGCTGCAGCCATTTTCTGTTTCTACAGTTTTTATTCTTTAAATTGCATAATCAGTTGAACAAATCAAAGTGCTCCTATACACCATTGTTCTTCCAAATTGATTAGGATCCAATAACCCCCCCCCCCCCCCCCCACACACACACACACACACACACACACACACACACACCCTACAAGACAACAAATGCAATCACCATTAACCACAAACACAAAAGCAAACTAGCAAAGCATAAGAAGACAAGAAAAAAGAAAACAAGAAACAAAACAAACAATATTAAACAAAAAACTAGGGCTGACCCGGAATAGTCGAGGATTCGATGCTTCGATGGGTGGAGCCTGATTCGACTGTCAGTCTCACTGTCGAAGCTTCGCTGCGAAACAAGGATCATGCCATTTCAGCGATATGGGGGGTTCTCAATGTCTGATTTTACATAAACTACCAGTTTTCTCCCAATAACTTAATATACAGCCTATTACAATATACATTTCAATGTTTAATGCTGTAAATAAACATGTAAAAAGAATTAAACTTTCAACAGATGTTTTTAAAGTGCGTGAATAAATCCAGAATTGTAACCCTAACCCTGGGTCATCAGTGCCCATGCTATGTCGACATAGCGTGTACGTGTGTAGTGGCAGGAGGGACACTTGCTGAAGAGATGGAGCTTCCGCTTCACTGGTGTTGTGCTGCGTTGTCTGCACCTCGTGGGACTTTCGGATAATTTATCACCGTTGATGACCCACACAAAGAATATTTTATCGTGTTTAAATAGCCAGCTATACTTGAAATAAACCTGCGAGGAACCATGACGTGCATGCTCTTGTCGGCAGCACAGCATGCACGCAAACCTCTGCACAAGACCGGTGAACGGCAGGCGAGACAGAGAGAGAAAGCCTCAGTTTAGCTTCGGCTCTCAATCGCCGTGCACAAAAACACGCATGATTCGACTATCAGTCGACTATTGGCAGGACTTGGCAATTCTGATTCGACTGTGTAAATCCTTAGTCGGTGACAGCCCTACAAAAAACATGAACACTCACTCAGGGAAAGCAGCTTAGTATGTTATAAAATCATTAGTCAGTAGTAGTTAATCATTAACACTTCAGAATTTAAATTCTGAATTACTATATTCATGTTCTTCTGAAGTTTAATTTGGGAACCATCCTCGATAATTCAAAACAGGATTTTTTAATCATAGATGTACTTGTAGTTGTAGTTATCACTACAACTGGTAGTTCCACTAATTCCATTTCTACTCTTCACAACTGTATTTCAAATTTACAAAAACTTATGCTACTTCTTAAATTGTTAGTACTATTACCATTTTTATTATTATTATTACTGTTACAATCTACATATCCAGTAATCTCATACACTATTAGTTGGATTGTAAAAATAATAAGAAAATGAAAAAAGAAAATGTAATTTAAGATGTAGTGACTCACCTTCACCAGGGGACACACCCTGCTCCTCTTCATAATTTTTCATCCTCTATATCACAGTCTCTGCAGCAGAAACACACATGTTGATAGGGCTGAACAATTAATACAAATTTGCAATTGCCATGTAAACTGCAATTGCAAGGCACAATATTTGTTAAAGGTGATTTATGTGTCAAAATACCATTTTAAATTAAATATTGTCATGCTGCTGAGATGCCACAGCCTACATATTATGTTCTCGAGACTTCCGAAAAAATCTGTTTTTGGTAAAGATAGCCACAAAAATCATGCCATAATTAATTTAAATATGTTTTCAATGCAAATGAGAAGAATCAGTCAAAATAATTGCAATTAGATCTTTTTTCAAAATTGTTCAGCTCTATTGACTAATAGACTGATACATCAGCCCGTTCTCATTCCCAGAGCATCAAATACCAACGCTTTGTCACGTCTCTTGGTGTCTGGTACCAACGCACATGGCACCCTTTTTGCATCATATTTCAATGCTAAAAGTACTACTATAAATAACAGAAACGTCCGAATAAGGAGGTGATTGAAGTGGACGGATGGGTCAGAAACCAGACTTTCAGAAGGCCGGTGTTTGTTTCCCCACGTGAAACAAAAAGTCAACGTTTAGTCCTTTTAGTGTAGTTACGTAAGTTAACGAAGTTAAGTACGTTAAGTAAATAGCGTAATTGAACTTAATTTAAGTTATGTAGTTATTTTAAGCCAAACCATGATCTTTTCCTAAACTTTGGTGACTAAACCTAAACAAAGTGCAATGTTTTTCCAATGTTGCAGTTTTATTTTGAAAGTCTAACCAGACCTTGCATAGTTATTCTCGCTAATTTGACCGAGCCCTACAAGTACAAACCAGCGCTAAAGGGTCTTGACATAGCGTCTATATGTGGTGCCCTGATATGAGAACGGGTTGAAGGCATCCTCAGGTTGATATGTTCTTACGCAGCCTTGTAGAAATTCTTCTGGTTCACCATGTGGTCGTGGAAGATGTTTATGGCTTTAAACACGTCTATCTGGTCCTGGTATTCCTCTAACACCTTTCTGTATCTGTCATACACACACAGAGTAAAAAGGATAAATTAGGACAACATAAAACAACTACCTAACCTCTTGCTCAAACCCCATTGGCTCAAAGATCTGGGGCCTCATGGGGCCTCAGGTCAGGAGGGACTCATGGGCATGGGATGATCTTCTGTGAAGTTGCTGAAATCAAACAAACCAAAACTGGAAAACTGACACTCAAAGTAGAGTGACTGTTGTAAACAAACTTTTACTGAATATTGTAATACCAGGATGTGCTACAAAATACTATGGTTTGCTTTCTGGTGAGAGTTGGATGAGAAGACTGATAACACTATATGTAACTTCAACCGCTTATCCGGAGTTGAGATCGCGGGGGCAGCAGCTCTAGCAGGCGACCCCAAACCTCTGATTTTTCCCGCACCACAAGCTCTGACTGAGGGATCCCGAGGCGTTCCAAAGCCAATGTGGAGTCAACAAGTATGGAGATAATCTCTCCACAAAGTCCCGGGTCTTCCCCGAGACCTGCTAAGGTGGATGTGCCTGAAACCCCTCCCTAGGGGGGCGCCTAGGCGGTAGATCTACAAAACACATGTAGACTGAATGGGGATACTACCAGGCCCCCTCCTCCAGGATCCTTGCAAGAGTGAAAAGCTGATCTGTTGTTCCACGACCAGGACGGAATCCGAATTGTTCCTATCCAATCTGAGGTTCAACTATCGGCCGAGACCTCCTCCCAGCTTGGAGTAGACTTTAGTGTGATATCCCTGTAATTGGCACATATTCTCTCGTCCCACTTTTTAAACAGTGGAACTGCCACCACTCCTTAGGCACTTCTACGCAGTGTTGAAGAGGTATGTCATCCAAGACATCCCTTCCACATCCAAGGCTTTAAGCATTTCTGGTTGGACCTCAGTAATCCCTGGGTTTTTGCCACTGTGGAGTTGTTTGACTATAGTGACTTCCACCAGGGAAACTGATGATGATCCCACATCAGTCTCCATCTCTACCTTCACCATAGAAGACCAGTTAGTGGGATTCAGGAGCTCCCCAAAGTGTTCCTTCCATCGCCCAATTACCTCATCAGTAGAGGTTAACCGAATCCCACCCTTACTTTACACAGCTTGGATGGATCCCCCTTCCCCATGTTGTGACGGACAGTTTTCCAGAAGCTTGTTGCCAACCGAAAGTCGTTCTCCATGGCTTCTCTGAACTCCCCCCACACCCGTTGCTTTGCCTCTTTCACGGTGTGAAGCAAATGTGAGCATCTGCGTTGTGTTTTTTAAAGTCCTCCGTTTTGGCTTATGTGCACTAAAACGTTACCCCCGAGTTTTAAAACGAATACAGAGTTGGCAGTTTTTCCGAACTTCTCCATTTTAGGTCTTCGGATTTGCTGTTTTAATCTGGATGGAAGGTTTTGAAACAATTGTATGAGTGTGAGAGAATTGAAATAAATTGGTACGGAAGTCAGAATAGAGTTAATCAATTTAACGTTTTATTTTTATTTATTTATTTTTTAAATTAAACAATTAAGAGAAGTGCCCTATTTTTCACTTGAGCCCGTGCCCCTCAAAATGTCTGTGCACGTCCGTGTACCTGCGGATCCAGGCGACCTCCTTCAGACTCTCTACACTCCACTGCTGGTAGATGCTGCAGGCCTTATCCTCAGACCCAGACACCATCGGAGAACCAGGCTTGAGCTCAGCCAGGAAGTCCCGGAGGCAGGCCCGGGCCGACAGAGCCACCAGCCAATAGATCGGCTCCTCCAAAACCACAGAGTGGAAAGACTGCAGGGCGAAGGGGAGCCACTGTGGGGGAGGCGAAGTGAGGGGGCTCTGGAGGAGGAGACAATCAAAACTAAATTACATTTTCTTCACATTCTGCCAATTACATATATTTTGTATATAACTTTATATTTATATAGGTGTATGTTTATTGTTGTTGCACACCTAGTCGTCAAAACAAATTCCTTGTATGCGTAAAACTACTTAGTAGTTTTCTGATTCTGATTTATTCTGATCGAGGTTCTTATATGAGGCATTTTTATTCTGATCAGGCGCTGTTCTCCTTATAAGAGACCAAAAATGCTCTTTGTAAACACAGCCTGTCTGTCTCACCTGGTTTCTGCTTCTGTAGTGTTTGAGTGTGTCCAGCAGCAGTGAACTTGTGTTCTCATCTGCTTCCTGTAAACTATACATCAGGGTCTGCAGGAACAAAAACATGACGCTTACATCTCCACCCAGTCACACCAGTTCACCTCAGACTGTGAATTAAAATCACATTCACAGCAGTGCAAACATCAAGTCACTCAAATCATGTTTGACCATGGACCCCCATTTGAAAAGATTTTGTCCCCAGGATCGCTCATCTTATAGAATTTAGATTTTTAGATGAATTATTTCATAAATGTATGAAATCCATTAACAATTTAGTCATACGGTGTGCTATTTATGGATTAATTTTTTTCCTGGGGCTAAATCAACACATTGACATAATACCGGTGGTCCACAGGATAGTAACATGAGTCGCGTTAGCTGGAGAAGTAATGTGGAAAGATATACAACTATAGTATTTGGCACCAGAAAACATTAGCAACTGGTCGTCATTAACTAGGAAGCTAATATTATCCAACCTGAGCCAACTAAATCTCAATATCACAATATATTTTACATGTTTTGCAGTGATGTTAGTTCACCTCCCCAATAGGATAAAAGCCAACTCTGGGTCGGTTTATATATCCAAAACAAAGCGGCCCTTTTGATGTTGACTGAGTTTTCGCCTGAAGTCAATCTGATTCTCGCTAGGCCTGACGAGCTTCAGCACATGAAACTTTTTTGGTGTAAACGAGGGTTTACGAGAGTTTTTGCATGAAAATCTTGGAAACATACAGACGGCACTAACAGAGGCTGAAGCAGAGGAGGGAAACGAGAAAAAAATTACTGCTGGAGAGAGCTGAAAATCATGATGAGAGACTGATGAGACAGTGTACAAGAATCAAATCAAAAACCTCTGACCTCCAGTGTGCTGCTGACTCTGTGCAGATAGAGCGCCTCCTGCTGCATGAAGTTGTTGTAGCAACGCTGAGTCAGCTGACCGGACCGGAGCTCCTTGAGAAAGGAGGACAAGTGGAGAATCTCCTCCGCCAACAAGTAGCTGTTGCCCCACAAAACATCAAACAGACTCAGACCGTGCATGATTCCTGAGACAGAGGGGGAAAAAATCAAAATGTTATTGCTATGTGATGTTTAATAGTCCTGCGTTATATTAAGAAGTGTTTCCAGTGTTCAGTCTATCGTACAGTTAGTGACTGGCAAAAGCTGCCAGTGGGAAAGATCTGTAAAAAGGCAGCAAGTGGACTTTAAGATGTGATTTCTTTGTCAATCTTGTATTTCCAAAGTCAGACATGGCTCAACAGTAATTTCTTTGCCATAAGTACTGGGATGCAAAAACAACCAGTAAAACGTTACCTGGTTTCCTGTCGCTGGGGAGGACTTCAGAAGAGGAGCTGGAGATAAACAGAGGAAATATTCAAGGTGAGCAAATAATAGAAAAAATATTTCAAGGTTCAAACATTTCATACATTTGCAGTCTAAAGCTTTCACAGGAAGCAGATCTAGAGTGAGCAGGTGCCACTGCTCCAGATCTGTTCACCTTTTCATGTTCAGTTATTGGAGAGACTGTGAGGTTTCCACAGCATATAATAAAATATTCCAGCAGCAAAAAACAAACTTTTTGCTGCTGGAATTCTTTACCTGACATAAAATTTGAACAAACAAACAACAAACAGCTTAATACCACCTTTTAAGCACACAGAGATTAAGAGTTTGACAAGGCCGGGACCCCCACTGACTCTCATTCACCCCTCATAGTACAGTGTACTTGCCATGAACATTTGTACACACCCCTGCACAAACTATAGTTTAAATGATATTGTACACATTCTTTATTCTTTTTTTTTACAATGTTTTTAATATTTTATCAGTTTTATTTTTTTCATGATTCTTTACTTGCAGTACCTGCTTTATCTTCCCTTACACCTTCTACTTGCTATGCTTGTTGTTATGCACCAAAATACCAAAGCATATTCTTTGTCTGTTTAAACCTACTTGGAAGTAAAGAGGATTCTGACCCTGATACTAGCGATGTGTGATACTAATTCTTATGTAATGCAATACCAAGTAATACCCAGGCTGGTATTGCCGATACTGATACCAATAGTTTTTACATATTTTATTTCTAGTTTAATGTGAACTCCCCCTCCCGTTTCTGTATTTAAGGGAAATAAAGAGGAGGCTGTAGGCTTAACAATTCCAAATAATGGCTGCATAATGAATTAAAACTACTGTCATATATTTTAATTATAATAAAAATATCCTGCTCAGAACTGCCACTTCATAACACAACGTCATTATTACCTTCACAGATCACAATGAAATATAAAAACAACAACGACTAACAATTAACAACAGATATGTGCAATGTGCCAGGTTTGTGCATGATATGAAATGAAATAGTATTTACATGTGCAGAAACATGTGTTATTTGAAAGGGGGGAGTGTCAGTGGGGGACCCGGGTCTTGTTGATGAGGCCAGCTGCAGATGGGAAGAAGCTGTTTTTGTGGCGGGAGGTTTTAGTCCTGATGGACCGCAGCCTCCTGCCAGAGGAGAGAGTCTGAAACAGTTTGTGTCCGGGGTGGGAAGAGTCAGCTGCAATCTTTCCTGCTCACCTCAGAGTCCTGGAGGCGTACAGGTCCTTAAGAGAAGGAAGATTGTAGCCAATCACATTCTCTGCAGAGCGAATGATACGCCACAGCCTGCCCTTGTCCCTGGCAGTGGCAGCAGTGTTCCAGATGGTGATAGAGGAGCTGAGGATGGACTCAATGATGGCAGTGTAGAAGTGCACCATCATTGTCTTGATGGAAGGAGTCCACAGTGGTGACTGGGGAGTCACTCAGCATGATGGGGGAGGGTAGGGCTGTGCTCTTTCTGAAGTTCACGACCATCTCCACTATCTTATGAGCGTTGAGCTCCAGACTGTTCTGGCTGCACCAGGTCACCAGATGGTTGATCTCCCACCTGTAGGCGGACTCATCCCCACCAGAGATGAGCCCAACAAGGGTGGTGTCATCCGCAAACTTCAGGAGCTTGACGGACTGGAGGTGCAGCTGTTGGTGTACAGGGAGAAGAGAAGCGGGGAAAAGAACGCAGCCTTTGAGGGGAACCGGTGCTGATGGTCCTGGAATCAGAGACATGTTTCCCATGTGCTGTTTCCAGTCCATCAGGAAGTCTGCAATCCACCTGCAGGTGGAGTCAGGCAGGGCCGGGATGATGGTGTTGAAAGCAGAGCTGAAATTCATAAACAGGATCCTGGCGTAGGTTCCTGGGGAGTCCAGGTCCTGGAGGATGAAGTGAAGGGCCATGTTCACTGCATCGTCTACAGACCTGTTGGCTCTGTAGGTGAACTGCAGGGGGTCCAGGAGTCGGTCTGTGATGGATTTAAGGTGGAACAACACAAGGCACTCAAGAGACTTCATTACCACAGATGTCAGGGTGACGGGTCTGTAGTCATTTAGTCCTGTGGTCCTTGGTTTCTTGGGGACATGGATGATAGTGGAGGCTTTGAAGCAGGCTGTCACATGGCATGACTCCAGTGAGGTGTTAAAGATGTCTGTGAACACCGGAGACAACTGATTAGCACAGTGATTCAGGGTGGATGGGGAGACAGAGTCCAACCTAGCTGCTTTGCGGGGTTTATGCCTCCTGAATAGCCTGTTGACTTCCCCCTCTGAGATGGAGAGAGGGGGGAGGGGGTGGGGGACTTTGGGTTTGTAGTTTGTGATCAGTCTGAACCCCCTCCAGACAGAAGTGGCATCGTTTGCAGAGAACTGGTCCTTTAGCCTTTAGCCTTTAGCCGTAGCGAAAGCAAGGCTTTGACAGGCGGAAGGAGAAATAGTTCCTATCAACTGAGTATAGGTAGACCATCCTGGTGACAATAAGATGCTTGTGATAAAACATACACTCACTCCAAATTACTGAGTTTAGATATCAATCCTTTTATTTAGTATCGAGAGCAGAAAATGTTAGTATCAAAAATATTGATACTTTAGAATTGATCCGCACATCCATATCTGATACTCAACAGATTTGTGTAACTTAAAGTAATTAACCTGAACACTCCCTCCAACATTGTTTTCAGACTTTAGCCTACCTGGTTGTGGTGGAGCAGATGTAGAACCTTAGCTCTCCACAGGGGGCGCTGTGCAGCTTTCCACCTGAACACAAAACACACACAAGGATTTAGTTTTTAAAGAGGAATAATGAAGTATTGTACAATTCAAAGAACAAATTACAATACATTATTTATTTATTTTGAAATAAAAATCAATTTATTAACTATTCTAATCCATTTATTCATTATTTTTTCTTTTACTTCTTGGTTCCATTTCCATGCAAGCCCCGCCTTCACTGGTATTTCCCTTCCCCTGATTGGTCCAACCATTCATCCTGAAGGGGGAGTTGTCACTCCAAAACCAAGAGCCATTCTTCAGACAGAAAAACAAAGACACAATGGAGAAAATTATCAGCATATTAATCCATTTGAAGTCAGATACAAAATAGCTCGAAATGAGCTCCACCTCAGCAACTACAGCGGTAAACTCCTGCTTTACATTAAGGCATGAGGAATAATAATCTGATGATGGGACAGTACCAAGGGACAGTTTACTGCATTGAGTACTTTTACTTTTAATACTTTATACTTACATACTCAAGTAACATTTTTAATGCAGGACTTTTACTTGTAACAGAGTATTTTTACAGTGTGGTATTAACAATAATAACAATAATAATAATAATCTTAATTTGTAGAGCACTTTTCAAAAACAAGTTATAAAGTACTTTGACAAGTGTAAAAACAATAAAACATATATAACCAAATACATATACATACAACATACACATTTAAAATAAATATAAATATACAATAGAACAAAATAAAATAGGATAAAATAAAGTCAAATAAAATCGGGAAAGGCTCTCCTATAAAAATATGTTTTAAGAAGGGACTTAAAAGAGTTCACTGACTCAGCCGACCGGATTCCCTCAGTCATGTCCAGACGTACCAAAAAGCCTCTTGGAGCAATGCCCTAAACCCAACAGAAAGTCAGCCATTTTGAATTTTATGGTCACTTTTGGATGATTTACACACTCCGTACTTTAACCAACTCCTCCTAGGGATTTAGTCTGACCGACTTCAGATTTGTGCTGTACGTTCTAAAGCCATATTAAGAGAGATCGACTTGGGCAAACTCTGTGGCATAGTTTTGTTAGACCTCCAGAAAGCATTTGACACCGTGGACCATCAGATTCTGCTAATAAAACTAAAAGCTCTAGGTTTTAACAGTATGGCATGTGAATGGATTCGATCATACTTGACTGTCTGAGGCTAGAGAAATAAAATGTGGTGTGCCGCAGGGCAGTGTCCTGGGTCCATTGCTCTTTCTTTTGTAAATAAATGACATGAAATCTGTTTGCAGTTGTAATCTTTTTCTCTACGTGGACGATTCAGCCAAGGTTTTCTCCCATAAGGATAAGTTATGGAGAACCATTTAAGTGATGAGTTAAAAAACATAAGCGAATGGCTGATGGAGAATAAATTGTCTTTGCGTTTAGGGAAAAATGAATCTATTTTATCTGGTTCAAAATAAGGTCGAGTAGGACACCAGAGCTCAGAATTTCTGTGGGTGGTACCCAGACTGAAGTTAAAACTTGTGTTCAATATTTAGGCTGTGATTTAGATAGTTCTTTGAGTGGAGAAAGTATGGGTCAATGTGTTATCACAAAAGTTAACCAAAGAATAAAATTTTTACCACGTATGGCTCATTTTCTAAATAAAGAAACTTTAATGTTAACTCAGCCACACATCGATTATGCCTGTAATACATGGTACAGCAGGACCCACAAGACGATAAAAGTTCAACTTCAAATGGCACAGAATAAATTCAGGTTGACTTTAAACCTCAATAATAGAACTTCTGAACTTCAGAATCTAAAATGGCTGACAGTTGAAAACAGTGTGAGGCTGTTGAAACTGAGATCAACATGAAAGATTTTGTATAGAAATGAGCCAAGTTATTTTAAAGATTATTTTAAGCTTATTAGGAACTCTCACAGCTACTCAACTAAAGGCAGTGCCACAGTCATAGTACCTTGTAGATTTAAGAGCTGTTCTGCGCAAAACACCTTTTTGTACACAGCAGCATTGGAATGGAACAAACTCCCAGTTGAGATTAAGTTAAGCCAGTCAGATCGCTGTTTTAATCGAGCATGTGGTGAATGGTTGTTTAACGCTAATTAGTCTGAGTTTTTATGTAGTCTTAAGGAATATTTATTATTGTAGTGGATATTTTTGAGTTTATTTTATTTTATTTTATTTGTATTGGGATGTGTTCGTTTTTTGTTGTTGTTTTGTTTGTTTGTTTTGTTTTTTTGGTCGTATTTTGTAAAGGTTGATTGTACAGGGTTCCTTTACACATCCGTAACTTGCCTTGCCATCTTTATCAGACTACAACGAGGACCACAATTCTGATACAGAAGACAGTGAACTGAGACAGTTCTGATAAATGTATAATATCACTGTGATAGCATCTTGTTATGCATT